CGACAAGAATTAACCATGATGGTTTCCAGGGGTACGTGTGGAGATTAACCTGATATTGCCAGCAATGGAGCTATTAGACTTAACTATCGCTTCCCCTCAAAATTTGTAATTTTTTTTTTTATGTTTGAAAATGGTATGGTAACCCAGCCTGCGCTAACGGGATACGTTGGCGGAGCACCAGTGAAGGGTGATAGATGGGAATGAAAACAGGTCAGTTAGCCCATCATGATGAATTCATCAGGAATTAACCATGATAGTTTCCAGGGAGAAACGCGAGGAGGTCAACTTGGTTGGGTATATTGCTAGCAATAGGATTCTCAGTCTCCATTACTAACAATGCCTTTCCCCCCAAAAACAAAATTGTAATTAGACAATATAGAATGGGCCACCCCTTCCTTTCCCGTGGGTGTTGTAAGAGATGACTAAGGGAACTTAATGCTAGAGGGATGGGCAACAGTGTCCCCATTAAAACATCATCAAAGCCAGTAGTCGATAGTTAAAAACTGATGATGATGACAATAAAATTCATTGTATTCACCGACCCGTTTGTTTTTCATATCTAAAGGAGACGACTAGCAGTTTAGGTACGGAGAGCTGTTAGTTATTATTCATATTGTTATTCAAGAATTCAACATTTATTAATCATTGTCTAATGCATAGCTAGATATTTAATGTTTTCGACACAATGCATTTACCTGAGGGAGACTGTACAAAAGTTGTTTGCTTGAGCACCTCTGTCTCATTCGTGTTTCTACTGTGAAGCAGTTGTTTGCATGGTTGTTTCGGTTTCAAGGGTGGGATATGGCAGTGAATTTTACAGGGTACAGAGAAATAAAACCTGCCTCCTCAGGAATGGCAACGCATGGGAGGCATTATGGGCGAAACAGTATACTCTATTATGTCCATGGTACTGCTCATATGTATAGGCGACGGTTACCACTTTCCATCAGGTGGGCCGTCAGCTTGTTTGCCATTCTAAGTTGTATAAAAAAAATGCATATTGTTATGAAATAAATAATGAATTTAATAATAAACATTACTGGTGCTGTTAATGTATTTAAACGATAGCTTCGTTTATACCATTATGCCTATTAATTCGTACCATTAAATCAATTAATTAAAAAACTAGATTGTTATTATAATATACGGACGCAACCGGATTAATAAGAAAAATGTGGTTATTGATTGAATGTTATTTTGGCGGTATGTTACATGATGTCACGTGACTAATACCAAGTTGGTGTCTATAGCAGTAATAGATCTTATTCGGTCCGGTTTAAAAAAATAATTCATTAATTTCATGTTTGGTTAATAAAGTAAATTTTTTTTCTTAACTTAATTTTTTAATTTAATTTTTTTAATTCTACCGCCCAATTCAAAATGTAATTTCAATTAAGAAGAACAGGCAAACTCAACTGTTGACTTTTTCAAATAAGAATTGAGTTTACGATAAAAATTCAAATGGAATAAATGAATGACATACTTCAAATAGAAAAAAAACTACAGTCTCTTACAATATTCTTAAAAAGACTAGGCTCTACTTTTTTAATTTGATACACTTCATAAAACTAGGTGTCCCGTCCTCACTTTTGATACGGGTGACAAGACACCCGAAGTGAAAGGGGAGAAAAATAGAAGAAAAGTGTGGTGTAGATGATTTTTTTTGCAATGTCTATCCACTTGTTATTTATTTACATAAATATATATTTATAAATGGTAGTACAATGAGTATAATGGTAAATTAAATATAAAGGTACTTACACTTTATACTTATATATATATTTACACATTTATATGGGCTGAGGTAAGTACGACAGTTTTTTTATCAGTCCTACTAGAAGCACTCGTTCACAAGTATGACGGATGAAACAGTCATCGTTGTGTTCAACCAATAAGGATAATAAACCAATAAGGAGCCCAACGATCTAACCTGGGGGGAAGGGGTTGTTTAGTAATGCAAACAACCATTCTCATTGCTAGCAACATACCCTGTCAGGTCGACCTTCATGTGGTCACTGCTGGAAACCAATATGCTGATTTCCACGTGTATTTATCGCGATGTGCTAACTGACCTGCCTTTTCATTCTCACCTATCATCCGTCACTGGTGCCCCTCCAGCGTATACCGTTAGTGCAGGCAAGATTACCACTACATTATCATCCATTAAAAAAAAAGCAATTGAATGTAACAGTGTATCAGCTCATTACAAAATTAAATCAAAATGTTTAATGAATTATTTACAATAATTATTGTCTCTCGATTGGTTTTTCATTACACAAGTAAGCTACGTCAGAGGCCTTCGTCTACGATGGAGACGTCCTAGAAGCCTGACAATAAAGGACATCACCGTGTCACTCTTACACGAGTAAATGAACAAACATTGCCATTATCTTGAGAATTAATATAAATAAACAATTTAAATATTTGTTTTCAAACACAGGTCTGCAACAACATCCAATGCGGCCTATAAAAACAATCTTAATTTTGTTTTATACGCAGGTATAAAGGAGCAATCGACAGGAAATTAATCACGGATATAGACGTAATATATTTGAATTAATAAATTCGAAATCAAGCCAGTCCCTTAGATACGACACAAACCAATCTATCTACAGATAAGTTTTTATTAGAAAATGCATGTGAAAGAATAAGATGCCGGATGTTGCTGTTTCGTTCTATTTCATATATACGATAGCGACGATTTATCTATCGATATTTTGATGCAAGCAGATTCGTTCCTCGCACAAAACAATTGTTGTATTCCTTTAATATGTCTGTTTGTATTGTTTGGGTGTTTTCTTTGTATAATATATATGTATATATAAAAAAAAAATAGTATGTCTATTAATTGTCTAGTACCCATAGAACGAGTTCTTCCCAGTTTGAGACTAGATGACGCTGTGTGTTATGATCTATGTTTTTATACTAATGTTTATTCTAAGATAACTCGTAGAATATAGAAAGTGAAATTATTCTACACGTTAAGTAATAGATTTAGATACTATTTTGTCTCTCTTTTCCTTTGCTTTTTTCCAACCGACTTCAAAAAAAGATTCTCAAGTTGTATTTTTTTACGTTTGTCACCTCATTACACTGTCAGTTGTATACCGTTTTGGTAAATTCTTTTAATATCTGTAAGAACATACAAAGACACATACATCAACATACGTAGCTCTGTTTTCAAATGAAAAGTTAGATAGGAGTGATGAGATAAGAAACATAAAAAAATACTGCTGGCGCTCCCTAATTTGGATGTAACATAGTGTCATGAGCCTTCGTGTATTTTTTATTTTTGATGGGTGAAAATGGTATGGTAACCCTGCCTGCGCTAACTGGATACGCTGGCGGAGCACCAGTGAAGGGTGATAGATAAGAATGAAAACAGGTCAGTTAGCCCATCATAATGAATTCATCAGGAATTAATCATGATAGTTTCCGGGGAGAACCTCGACCTGGTTGGGTATAGCCTTCGTGTATTTAGAAGGTGGTTTATAGCAGAGGGCGTTACCTTGCTCCGCTGGCGTCCCCTAGTTCAGATGTGGCGTCACAGGCCTCCGTGTATTAAGAACGTAGTCTATAAACACTTGACATCAGATGGTGTTACCATTATACGAGTATCAATGGCATTAATAGTAATGGTGGTACTGAAAGTGATACTCAAACACTTGGCATAGCCTCATTTGTGGTATAGATTATAATTTTGTTGAATAATAGCTAACGTGAGTCATTCGTATTGAATTGAATTTATTTATACTGGTTTTGTTCACGTATTTACATTCATTTAATGACAATGCATGTAGAGCATTAATAAAACTGTAGCCAAGTACCTACTCTGATTACATTATGAGTTGTCTATGTACGTACGTACGTTGTAACATACTTATATATACATGGACAGAATATAATTAATTTTTAATTTAATACTATACTATACATGTGTAAAGTGTAGGGGGGATTATTAGTTATAGAAAGGGTTAGTCCCCATTGCTATCAATATGCCCTATCAGGTCGACCTCCACGTGGTTCCCCCTGGAAACTATCCCGACTAATTTATCATTGAATTCGTCACAATGGGGTAATTGACCAGCCTTTTCATCTTCACTTATCACCACTCACTGGTACCCCGCCAGTGTAAACCGATAGCGCAAACAGGGTTAACATACCATTATCACCCATTTAAAAAAAAACACTGTTTATTCGTAATAAAATAAATTGGTGTAAATAAGAACATTAGTTGCTATATACAGGTTAAATAGCCAACATAAAATATATTTTTCTACCTGTTTTTTTGCACTAAATATTATCAGCAACACAATTAAGCAGATATTGCACTATAATAAGAACAGTTTATTTCAAAGTAAATGAAACAAACATCTTTAAACATAGGTGAAACCTTGCTCTCCAAATAGATAATCTTGTACTTTAGGATAGGCAGCGTTCTTCCCTATACAGCATAATGACTCAATATTTATAAAAAAAAAAAATAACTACATTCTATATCTATATTATATCTACATAGAAACCACCTAAACAGATATAATCTTGAATGGGAACAAATGTTTGTATTGCGCTTGGATTGTACTCGCAACCATCAGAAGATGAAGCAGTGTATTAAATTGCTACATCACCAAGGATCTTACGAAGTAGGTAGATAAAGGTATGCCAGAATCCTCAATTACCATTATATAGATAAACCCTGACATATATCTTGATTCATTAACTTTAACAGATACCTTGTTTATTGATAATATAATTTCATAAATATATCTACATTCTAATAAAAGAAAATTCAGGAAAAAATATTAAAACGGCATTTTGTACAAAAAGAATCTAAATATTAGCAACATATATTAAGTTCAAAATAACAATAGTTGTATCACTTCCGTCGAGTATATAAATGCAGTGTCAAGGATGGGATTGAATAGAAATCATTTAGCTTAGATAATTCGAAAAAGTATTTCACAAAATAAAGTCAAAAATAAATCTTTAGAAGTACATACCTTCATTAAAGCAAATCTCTGATCGTCATCGATTCCGACCACTGTGTTCGACACTGGCGCCATTATCACAAAACAAAATTAATTTATAAATAAAAAATAAAGACGTTTTGATATTACACGTGTTTCACGAGCGAGCGTCAACACGCGAATGCCTGCCTAGTATCTTCTAGGTATTTAGTTTGTGCGTGAATGGTTTGGAAAGGTTTTATCGGATGATTGTTGTGTTGGTATATTGTTGAATGTACAATCGTTGTGCAGCCCGAGTAAACAATAACAAATTGTGCGTTGTACGCAGTCAATTGTGCACGCACGTTCAGCTTCAACATTTCTCAAGTAGGTACCTAAGAGTATTGAAGTTGTTAACCAAAAGACGGAGAGAACGTCGAAGAGTTCTTAGTGGATGATAATGGAATGGTAATCCCGCCTGCGCTATTGGTATACACTGGCGGGGCACCAGTGAGTGGTGATATGTGATATAACCAGGTCAGTTAGCCCATTGTGACGGATTCAACAAGAATTAATCATGATGTTATCCAGGGGGAATTAATCACTATGTAATCCACTGTGAGTGGAGGTCGACCTGACAGGGTATATTACTGCCAATGGACATTGACCTCTCCCGCGGAACTTCTAGGGGTACAGAATATTTAAATAAGAGCTAATTTAAAAAAAAAAACCGTTTTGTGTGAAAATATCGTATTTACTAAGAAACGAACTTGCCCCATATTTACATTATTTACGCAAAGTAACCGTCATCACCAACTAAAGTTACCAAATAATCCATTATCAGTTAATCTATAGTGTTTCCGGCCATTGCCGTGTGGTCCGGCATAAAATGAATCGCCTCTTTATTTCCCGTGGATGTCGTAAGAGGCGACTAAGGGAACTTAATGGCCAAAGGATAGACATGAGCATTCCTCTATAAACATCACCAAAGCCTCTAACTGCGATTGCCAATTCGCCTATTAAGCGTAACAACTGCTGGCAAAACTTCCCCAATATGGGGAAGCTAAGTTCAATAGTCGGCAGTTAACGGCTGATCTGGTCATGCTATGCAGTGCTGTAATATAAATAATAAATATACATAATAAAGCATTTTCTTTATCAATTAATACCACTCGTCAAAGTTCCATAACAGATTACTTGAAAAAAGTGTAATAATTCACATGTATTTAAAATACGTAATATTTTTTTTTTTTGTAATTTTGATTACATCAATTATTGAATCATTTCAAAAAATACCTTTCAATATACCTATATACTGTAATCCGAACCCTCCATAGATTCGTATAGCATAAAAATTTTGGGTATTCTATCAAGACCTTACTTTATCAATGGCCTTTTTGTAGTGAAATATGTATTATACAAAATAATCGATTATAATTGAGAGCTAGGTATTTTAAAACAATAATATATTGTCCTTTATAATCGATCATATTATATACATTATTGATTAAATAGATAATATTTTACTCAATTATAATATTTTTTAATAATATTTAAATAATATTGGATTATTTCTTATCTTCACACTATCTCCCACCATAAGGCACACAGGTACTTAGAACTCTTACTTTATTATATTTATTTTATTTATTAACGTTATGGTTTTGGTCTTTATATTTTTATTATTTTACCAGTCAATTTTATAGATAAAATCTTCGTAAATACGATCACGTGTCTGCCTTTCGCAACCAGTTAAAATGGTTCCCTATCCGACTTCGACGTGATATGTACATCCTTTCTTTCCCCAATTCTCCATCGTACCTCAGCTCCCGGTTTAAATTATTACCACCACCAGTCCGTCCTAAACGCTGTCAAGTTCAGTCCAGGAAGCTCGAACTACCTGTGTGTAGGACACATTTTAAGAGCAACTCTTTCTCGAGTCCAGTTATGGAACAAACTCCCTTCCCACATACAAGAGAGTTCCTCTATTACCTCTTTCAAGAAAAGGTTGAAATCACATTTTCTTTCCCTTCAGTAATTTTTTTTTTATTTTGTATTTTTCTAATTGAACTATCAAATCTTAAAATCATTAAATTTATAATGTAAGTAGTATATTCATTTATTTTAACATATATTATATAAGTAGGTAGGTATTATATGTATTTATAGTGTATGTATTTATGTAATATTTTATTATATATTTTATTTAACTATATATTTGTTTATTTATTAATAGTTGTAGCACTTCAGCTGCCCGCTAACAAACGGCTTTCTTACTGTACTGGGTTGACTGGAAGAGATCTCTGTCAGAGATAAATCCACCCTTGCTCACATTTATAAATACATTATTTTATATGTAACATACAAGTGCAATAAAGAATATATATAAAACTGTGGATTAGTACAAGAGATTTCGACGACGATGACTGAAGGCATTTAGCAGTCCTTTGCTAATTACATTAGACCCTTGGGTAGGTATGTTTCGTAATTGAATATTATGAAATGCATAGATTGTCGATAGCTACCTGTAATAATAAATGTAAGGTAAACAAGGTGTTATGATTGGGTCGAGGCCTGTGATGCTAACGTATTATATAACTACTTTTTTGCCCGCTACTTAATATGCGTGGATTTCAGAAGTAGGGAAACCAATTAAACAGACCTCTTTTAAACATATACCAGATCTTAAGTTTTCCAAAAATACAACTGTGAAAACCGAATCCAATTTTGTGAAAATTATTTGTGATGCCGCAACAAACATACAGACAAACAGACGAAGTTACTAAGTTACTTACTTGTTTTGGCAATGATTAGTCATATTAAGTCTCCTCATATTTTTTTTAAGTACTTATCTTTCATGTGTAGGTATCATCTAGTTTTTATATATTGTACCATTTTTAATACATTAGTAAGACAATAGCAATACTCATTCAGTTGACACACTGTGTATTGGAGTGCTATTTTGATATTTTCTGTTATTGTGTAATATTTATATTATAAAAAATATTGTATAAATGTAAAATACTTGTACCCTTTCATAAATTGTGAATATACTATTCATTATTTTTCTAATAATATCTATCTATCCTATTTAAGAGCTGCACTCTTGTCAGTGGAGCTCTTGCCACTCACGATGATTTTCAGAAAGTCTCTTCACCTCTTGTACGACACAATACCAAGTCCTTCCTTGATCTATATCTAATATTTATATGTATTCAATATTCTATCGTGTGCTTATCATTATCATAATATTTCAATAGAATTTAATGAAAATGTAAACAAATGAATAACATAACTAACTCAATCAACAGAGTCTGCCAATATGCAATAGTAGTACAAATAAAAATAAATTTATTATAAAATTTCATTTAGACTGTGTTTCCGTAACAGTTTCAACAAATTTAACCAAGTTTTATTGAAATTAATACAGAAACCCTTTCAGTTAAAATTGTTGCCAAACTAAATATAAAAATATTATAAATCTTAACACATAGATATAAAAAAAGTCATATTCATATAAAAAACTATGAAAATAAAATGCAATATAGCAAAACAAAATAAAAGTCATCAATTATTATTAAAAAAATATATTTATTAAAAATAATTTTAAAATCACATTTTCTATAGTTCAATAAATTATGGACTATAATTATTATATCCATAATATTTTTTATATGTACACATGTATTATAAACTACACAACTTCATTACAAATATCAAAAAAGGGGTAATTCTCAATTTATATATTTTTATATTGTCGATTGACAAATTGAGGTGAATTTATGAAATAAAGTCCATAATATATCATGAAAGTGATCACTAAATAAAAATTACTATTTATTGGATTTTTGGTTAAGGGATAACTTTTTCATAAATTAATAATAATAGATAAGATATATTATATAAATTGAACATTAGATAAAATATATTAATTTAAAAGTATAATATTCTTGTAACATTGGGGTTGGCTACGTACATGTGACACACCTATTGGTGTAGGTATTCATAGACTACAGTGACATTTTAACACCAGTTAGGTTGTATGCTTATGTCCCACCTTCATGATAAAGAAAGAACCTAACAAAATGAAATCCAAAAATAATTTGAACTTCAAATGTTAAAAAGATCTATCACATATAACAGTCTTGTTATGTTGATATTATTTCATAACAGTAAAAACTACTCCACCTCTTTCTGGTTCCTCATCATGAACTTCCTTATCACTGCCCTCAATGTCCGACACATCTGAATCATCACTATCTGCCTCTCGATACTTCCCAAACTTAGAGGTGTCCTCGGGTAAATTACCTATTTTAATGTCAGTTCGAGCTAGCAATTTCTCAGCAGCATGTTGTGCTTCAATCTCTTTCAAATGAGCATTATATGACTTTTGGAGTATTAATGATTCCTCTAAGGACAATAATTTTGCTGGACCATGCACAATTGGCGGTGGAGTAGCAGCAGTAACCTCCCAGTTTTTATGCTTTTTCCTATGGATCTCTTTTTCAGGATTATGTACATCTGATTTTGTTGTTTTGTATGGTTTGAACTGTCCCACAGGTTTTAATTTCACATTGTGCTCAGCTTTGTCAACCAAATATTTTACATGTGGTATATCTGCCAAGTCTGTTGGTGTTATTATGGATTTCTCAGGCTCTAAAACCTTTACTTTCTTTTCAAGAGATGTGCTTTGACTAAGAATGTGTAATACATCCTCTGGTTCACTATCATCATCAGAATCTAGATATTCATCATTCTTATTTGCTAATTTCCCTTCCCATTCAACATTCTCTACAGCCACATTATCAAGAGCAAGTTTCATACCACTAAACAATCGGCATGTCTGCTCTTCTTCTTTCTTTTCTTTCAAAGTATTGACTATTTTATCATAAAATGACTGTATCTTAGCTCCTTTATCTGGTAATTTGTTTATGAAAGATTTATTGTTAAGGAGTTTTAACTGTCTGTTGCTAAGTTCTTGCAATTCTTGTATGGTTTTAGATGATAAATCAACGATTTTACCATCAATTTCAGTTTTAGGAGGAGGCGGGAGAATACCAGGTATTTTCTTGTTTATTTTCTTCATAACTATGAAAAACTTTTCAAGTGATCATGAAGATATTGCGTTTTATTTCTTGTCATGAAATTGATTAAGTATCCAAAAAATATAATCCCAAAATTTCGTTTGCGTATTATTAAATGGATTACAATTACAAAGAGTATATAAACAAGGAATAATGGATTAATGAAATAGAAATTCGAGTCGAAATTCTATTTCGTTGTTGTGAGTCTGTCAATGTCATTCGTATCGTATTATATTATAGTTTTTATTCGCTGTCGCAAGCTGTCATATGTAATACTTTTGATCTACTCTAAGAACAAGGAATTACATAGAAGGAATGATAAAACTGCAAATTATATAATGTTTATGTACAAAGTATGCAAGTTGGTAATATCTGAATTTGGTACATTTTTTATACACTAGCTATATGCTAAATTAGCTAGCTATGAATTGACAATTTTATTACTCCTTTTATGTAATTCCTTGTCAAAAGACACTAGCCTGCTATGAATTGAGAAAAATAGCAACTGATGGTGTATCTTTTGTCCTCTTTTTACTAATTATATTTGCATAAGAAGAAAGGTGGCAACCATATGATTTACATTTTTATTGTATCATTCTTTCTATATAATTCCTTGTTCTTAGGATCTACTATGGCATAAGTTATGATAGTAATACGTGTCTAATAAATATATATAATATCTATGGCACTATCAAATTCACGTTGTAGGTACCTAAGAACAAAGACAACATAGCAAGAATAATAAAAATATACGGTTGCCTCCTTTCTTCTTACGCTAATATAATTAGCAAAAAGAGGATATGAGTTGTATTATCAGGTCCTTTTTGTTAATTCGTAATTAAACTAGCCTCACAGAAATATGTCTTGGGTAGTAGAACATTATATATACATACGATCGTGATAAGTCACGAACTCATGTAAGAGATATGTTATAAGTAGCTTAAATAAATAGAGCCAGAGAAAAGTACTGATCATTATTTAGCGTCCTTTTCTATTTGCCATGGATGTTTGGGTATAAACAAATATAAACATGTTTTATTTTGTCATTTGAAAATAAAGCAATTGTCTTTTGCTCTAAATTAATTTGTCGAAGATGAGCAATTAATAAAATAAAATTAAGCTGTTTGGACAAACGATCATTGCTTGACCAATCTCGAGAAAATTGGGATTATGGAAAAAAGTAGTCGTTGTCATTGTCAAGTTGTCATTTAATTTATGGTCTTCTTTTCCAGACAATTTATCTTTTTGAAGACTAGGCAGCATGGTCTCCGACCTTAGCCTGTTCCAAACGGAACAAACGTACTAAAAAAAAACAAAAAAAAAAATTATGGTCTTCTTTTTTCTTGTTGTTTCCACTGAATCGATCAATTTCTTGTTTTATTTTTTTGTGTCAAGTTTTGTATAAATACAACATGAAAACAGTTTTTCTGTATTTGACGTGACATCTAGATTACTAATTTTACAAATCTGTTATAATTATTTTCGTCATCAACATGGATGATGTTACGGTATGTATTTTTAGCATTCATGTAGTTTTTACGCTAGGGTATTTTTACTTTAAATGACAAACACATTACATTATTTATACTTATATTAATTCAGTTGCCTTGAATTGTGGCCACTTTTAAATTCTATGATCCAAAGACAGGTTGATCAGATATCTTTTTATTTACAGTTACCTTTACACTTGGAGCCCGTTCAGCAGAATGAGGTGTGTGACAAGAGGCTTTGGATAGGCAATCTGGACACGCGAGTTAATGAGTATGATTATTTTATCTGTTATTTATAAATTATGTTTTAGATTATAATCAAAAATACTAAAGTTTAACCAAAATGTAATTGCCATACTTGATTTAGAATTAGGTTTTACATTTAAATAGGTTACAAACAAGTCTTGCCATGTTCATTAATATCCACTCACCATTGTAAGTTTAAGGAAATCAAATGTTAGGTTAGAATCTGAAATGTTGATTATGATGTTTACGTTATTTATTACATTATATTATTATAAAGCAACAACACCATTTACAGAGGCAACACCTGCCTATGTTGTTTACATTTGTATGGTCATATTGTCATCATCTCAGCCATTATCTATCCACTGTTGAATGTTGAGCTCCCCCATAGACTGCCATAAACAACGGTTCTGAGCCATCTGCATCCACTGACTTTCTGTAATGCATTTGAGGTCATCAAACCCTCTAGGGGTCATATTTTGCATTACAAATTATTATTTTTAGGCCTAAGGGATTTTTGCTAGAGATTACTTAGCAATCAATAACATTCTACTGCTAAACATAGATATGCCTGTAAGTGGATGATGTTGTCTTCTATTACCACTCTAACCAGGTGGCCAAGCATATCATACAAGGTTTTATCTCGAGTTTTGCTTCTCTCATACTTTGTTCCCTTAATCTCTTTTTATGACATATTCTGTATAAAATGGAGTGATATAGACTGTATTTTCACTCTATCACCACGTGCACAGTTTGTATATTAACAACAACAATGCACATAGTCATTTGTTTTATAATAGTTGACTGTTTTATAGAAATATTTTCAACAGTTTAAAAAAAGAAGGATATTCTCTCCTTGGTTGTTTTTTTCTGTTTGTTATCATATAACTCGAAATTATTATAAATCTATTTTAATATAATTAAATAAAAGAAATATTTATAAATCGAAATTTTTATTTGAAAGAATATACTTTCACATTGGTCTCATAGAATTTTTACCTAAATTCGTTCAGGAGGAATTTTAATTAAAAAAAAAATTACTAGTTTCACAATAATTGAAAATCATTTCCATGACTAATAACATTACTGTAGTACTTACCAAGGTAAAGCAAATAACTCTACAATCTATCTATAGTATAGTTTGTTGGATATATATTGTTGTATAGGTGGACTGATAAAGAATGCTACTAGCATTAAGTCTGCTTTTTGTACCATATTTTCTTCTGGTGAATAGAGTTATTTAAATTAATAAATATATTTTTTCTGAATACCTTTGAATATTTTTAATAAACTATACCTTTTTTCTATTACCGGTATCAATTACTGAAAATGGTCCGTGTGTATGGAAACATCGAGAAGTTCGACATGCTGTTTCATCGGAGTGGGCCCAATATTGGGCAACCACGAGGCTTCGCTTTTGTTACTTACAAGCTGAGGCAAGATGCTATCAATGCCATGAACTCATTGAATGGCCAGCTACTTGGCACGAAAAGGATTAGTGTGAAATTTGCTAAGAATATGGCAGTAAGTATAATTTTGTATATTGAGATATTTTTTAGATTTATTTTATTATAACACCATTAAATAATGTAGAAGATATAATTGTATATTATATAGTATATAAAAATTTACACAAATTAAAGCCTGAGACAGCAATTTCAGATGGACAGCTTTTTTAATTATAAAAAATATCACTAATGTTCTAAATGCAAAAGTGTGTTATGTTTGTTATGCGATTATACTAAACGGCAGAACGGATATGAAATTTGGTACATGGTTGTACTATTCTACCTTTACACACAAAGTTTACACTTTACTATATGTTACTGGGATAACAGTGGGAGATGATCAATGAGGTTGAAAGCGTGTCAGATGGCTCATTGTGACAAGTTTAACAAGATTATGGGAACCACATAGAGATTGCCCTAATAGGTTATATTGCTAGTAATGTAGCTTTTACTTCCATTACTAACAATCCCTTTCCTCCCTTATAAACTAATTCATGCGGCTTAAAATTGCATGGGACTGTTGATGACAAAATTATTTTCATTGTTATTTTGTATAGGCACCAATTTTTTTTTTATTATTTTCATAGGAAGATCAAGATAAACCAAAACCAGAATTGGGAATTGCAGTGTTGGCAGGAGCAAAACCAGAATTGAAACTCAGCAAAAAGACTGCCATTCAATCCATAGAGGCCAAACTCAAGATGATGGAAAGTATGAAACCAGGCGATGACTTTGTTATAAATAAGTTAGCAGCAAATGAAACACCAGTCATTACTCAGTACCAGTCGAAACAACATCAACCACCAAATAAATCTATTAGTTCATTTAAAAGACGACATCCATACCATAAAAAAAGATAATCATGTTAAGATTTTATTTTTAAATAAATACCATACTTTAATTCACCTAACTTCTGCATGTTATAGCATGGTATGATTAGATGCTAACATTCTAGCAAGTTTAGGGAAACAACTGTACCAGAACAGTTGACTTACAGTAAAATGTAACCAGTTTGCAAGAGCAAATAACTGATTATAAACTTTTTTTTCTTAATTTTTATTATGATTATATTAATTATTTTGAATACTCAATATTATAAGTTCTATTTTTTTTAAACATTGGAGTCAATTCTAATATATATAATTGATATGTCCTTACTACAATTAAATGTTTTGTTGAATCCGTAAGTTACGTTTTAGTATTCTTTTTTACGGTTTTACGAACTCGAGATTGACAGGGAGTACACCCTCATAGCCTACAGCCTAGATGGTCGCGTACAACACGATTTCAGAGAGGTTTTCTCTCACGAACACTCAGGTTATGGAATGAGCTCCCTGCCAAGGTTTTCCCAAGAGCCTACAGCATGGGGTTCTTCAAAGGAGGTTACCCCTCTTTTGAAGAACCCCACGCTGTAGGCTAGAGGTTTTTTTAAGTTCGACAACGCGCGCGTAATTATTATTGTCCCCTGGTATTGCAGACATCAGGTGGGCCCTATCCTTTTTTGTCATCTATAAATGGTATAAAAAAAGACTTTTCAGCCACATCATGCTACAATGCGCAGACTAAGCAATGAATTAATTTGATTCACCGTCAATTATTTATATATTTCGTGTGGTACTTTTCATTGTGTTAAATTGTTTATTAAATATTAAATTTTTTTTATATAATTATAACAGATTTTAATGATGTATAAAAATAATTGTAAATCTCAGGTGGCTGATAGTTAGAAACAAGTTGAAGAGCATATTTTGTGCATTACTCGATAACACACAACTTGCTCAATGGATTCCTTAAAATATTATCTATTGTATAGACACACTATAGTATTGTTATTATATTTATTGCTTAAAAAATTTGTAGCACTCGACTATACTAACGCATACTGCCGATTTATTATATGGTGACGCTACGCATAAACTGCTGGTACATAAGATATTATTCCATTTATAAAATACGAAGTGAATGTGTGTTTTTAATTTAAGTATTAGTTTCTAAAAGTATCTTCTGATATTTGAAACTTAACAATTAATAATACTTCTGTGTTCAGTATAATTTTAAGTAATAAATGTTTGCAAATGTATAATTTATAGAAACTCAACAAATTTTGAAATGTTATTAGCTAAAGGGACTGCTAGATACAATGATTTTTTTATTATAATATCATTGGCTTTAGATATTACAAATGTTGTATCTATTTGTTCCAATAAAAGGTAACTTTTACATTGTCGTTTGATTGTAATTAAAACCAGTTTCATTTTTAAATATTTTATTATAATAAAAACAGGTTAAGTATAACAAACTTAATCTGTATAGACAGTAGAGTACAAATAACAGGTTCAATGACATAAGTCTGTTTTTAAAAAAAAAATATAATGAAGTTAAAAGAGAATGCACGCATTTAAGCTTTTTAGTTAAAAGAGAATACGCATGTCCAGATAATATAGATATATTGTATGCAAATTCTCCACAATCATAAACAAATCATTTATATAATAAAAACATAGAAATCTGATGTTTTTAAAAATAAGTATAATAAATAAGTATATAGAAACTCCATTGTTTTTAAAAACAATGGAGTTTCTATATACTTATTTATAATTGAATAATTCAAAATAAATTCAATCTATAATAATTTATGGTCTTAATAGCTACTCATGTATTGTGGAATTATACAAATATACTTTCACTTGTTCGAAAACCTGGTGATATTGAATTTGTAAGAGAACTAGCTAGTTTTTGAGACGGGTCTGCTACCAGGTAATCATCTTCCTCAGCTTCCATTTTCTTTTTCATGCGAGAGTATTGAGTTTCGTCATCACCTTCTTTCAGGAAGTCTTTATATTCAATGCAGAGGGGCCATATTATTTTTCCAGATCTGAAAGTAAGTATATCTTGAATAATGCGACCTACCTACATACCAGTCTACCATGAAATGAAATTCCGCATTTTCGACCTCAATTTCGTGTTTTTGTTTAAACCGAAATCGGACCACTACATGGAGCTTAACGTTTAGTTCATCATAAATCCAACCATACAAGTGCGTAAGAACTATATTTAAACATTTTTAAACAATATGTATTATGTAATTTTAACATCAAATTTGTGCTTTGTTCGGCTCCGAGATTTCAAAAAACATTTCACGATAGATTCTCTGTTTACAATGTAGTTGCTATAATCAAACTAAATTTCAATCAGAAATTCATATTACCACCAGATATTCAGAATACCACCATCAGAGTGTGTACAACCATAAGATCTGGATCAAAAAGTTGTCAATGCCTTTATACCTTTTAAACTAATAACAACTGATTTTCACGTTCATAGAGAATAGTCCCACTGTCCGGAGCTTTGCTCGTTTGTTTTTAAATCGTATAAAAGAAAATAACTACTTACTTGGGCAATGAGTATGGATCGTATGGAAACCATTCGTCATATTGTTCAACTGTTGCTGACTGTAATGTGTGTCTCATGTTTTTGTCTATAATAGCTTGGCAATATACCACTTGGTGAGCTCTCGTCACTGAGGAGAATGCGTGTGTCACTTGTGGTGGACATGTGAGAAGCGGGTTCAGGTTGCAGTTCACTAGTCTAGGTAGGTTTAGGGACTCGATGAAGTTGAGACCTGAAATGCGATATATTTATATTAATTTTATGAAATTTGTCAACGCAGATATCATTATATCACTTTTAAATATTTGTACGTTGGAAAGGTAAGATAAAGATATATTTATTTAACAAAGTATGTTTGTATTAGCACAGAATTTATCATTGCTTCCTACACTAGGCTGAGCCTGTCCTGTAGGAAACAGAATTCGTTTTATCATATACATGCATATCGATATTAAAAATAGGCTTTTAGCAGTACTGACAATTGTGTAACTGCTTTCTATAATGCAATTATTTTACAACAGCAGAAAATGATGGGAATTTAGTTACTATTGCCATCTTGGTATACCATACTCTAACAATTATTTTTATTATTACATATGAGTAGCTGTAATTAATAAAATTATAACCCCACCCCCCTTTGCTACGTTAGTTTTACCTATTTCTATTGTAATGTAGAAATGCTTGCTTTATTGGCATTTTGTGGTGTTTATGGGGATTGTTAACAATTATCAACAAATGGTAATTAGGTTGTTTGCCATTTTACTTAATTATCTGCCATTATTTTACTATTTTAAGTCGCATACAATAATAATTAAAGATTGTTAAAAAAAAATATTTCAATTATGACAAACACGTAATTTTGATTTACAAACTATTGAACCGATTGCGATAAAATTTCTATGGGACCAATCTGTAAGCATATCCTTTGAGACGAAAAAAAAAGGAATTTTCCATATCGATTCACAACTGACGGAGTTATGAGGTAACAAAAAAAAAAAATACAACTGAATTGAGTACCACCTTCTTTATGAAGGCAGATAAAATTTTCGGTCCTATATTCAAATTTTCTCATAAGATAAGATAGAATATAAGATTATATTATAGATAATAGAAGATAAGATTTCCTTAATTAATTTTATATGCATATTAATTGACATAACATACTCACTTTCTTTATTCATAAATAAATGATGATTTTTAAATGCTACAAGATAGAAGATGGCGTGGCAGATTGCGTGGAATGCCCCATGCGCTTTTGTGCTGTCACTTGCTGTCGTTGACTCTTGTGTTGCTGTTATATAGGAGTGACACCATTCAGCCATACTTCTCAAGTAATGTATAAGTCTAGTGTTAGGTACTCGGACACATCTGGCCAGAAGACCGGCGAGGTGGCTGACTGCGGTCCTCCTCGTTGTTAGAGCGCCGGGGCCCAGTCCGTGGAGACCGGCCGCGACAACCCACAAGTTTGTGAGGATTCTGTCGGCGCACTGCTGGTTTATTGATATTGTGTACAGCAGTAAGAATTGGACATGCCTGTAAATAAAGAGATTAAATAATTTTTTTTTACAGTTTATTTCTAATACACTTTTTGGCGATAAATCAACCATTTGTAATGTACATTATTTTAACCCTTAAATGCCTGAAGTTTCAATTTTGATACCGGGGTTTGCATTGTTTCATTGTTAAATAAATTTAAATATTTTGATTATTAAAGTATCAAAAATGATACTAAATGTTTTTTTCAAAATAAATATATAAAAATATCGTTTTGATTTTTTTAAATATTTTTCCCCATTAGTAAACATAGTAAAGGATACACTTATATATTTTTTTATTTGATTTAAAAAATCAGGCTTTTAAGGGTTACATTTTTCCTTTTATTATTTTTTTGTATCATCTTCATCATTATATCAGCCTTTAACTGTCCAATGCTGAACACAAGCCTCCCCCTTGGGGGTTATGCCAATAGTTGTCTCGTTTGGCAGGCTGACTGGCAACCGCAGTTAGGCCACCTCTTACGACACCCACGGGAAAGGAAGGAGTGTTTTACAAGACTATTATAGCTATTAGAGCGTTTTGTCATTTTCTATCAAATTGGGAATTCTATCGAATTCCTGCTACGAAACAAAAACACAAAACACTTCAATAGCTAAAAAGGTTTAAGAGACATTTTACATTTTGTGAATAAGAGGGTAAAACTAATAATAAGAATCTCAGTAAATATTCTCGAAATTTAACAACTTTAGAATAAAATTACACGATTAAATATAAAATAAATAAATAAATAAAAATAAACCTAACCTAACCTCTTTTTCTTAAAAAGAGGCAAGTAATTTGTTTCTATAACCAAACTTACTAATATTAAAGCATTCAGAAGACATAAATAATCGTTTTTTATATTTGATTTTATTTATTTATTTTAATTATGTACTCAATACAAGCACTTTTCATTGGATGTAAATTTATTCCAGACAGATATATCAAATTATAGTTCAATGTAAATTACAAAAAAGAAAATCAACTTACCTAATACCGTGAGTTGGTAATATAACCTTCTCAAACACATTACAAAATATACTAAGCGCAGTGTCCCTCTCGTCTTCGAGCCACTTCAATATTTCCAACATACAGTAGTCTAGAGTTTCTGATACACTATTCTCCTGCTCTATGTCCATTTCAAATATTTCTGTTTGCATTTTATTTTTAGAATTTTCTACTATATTAACATCCATTAGTACCATTCTGCAAGAAATATGATTTATTTTTAACAAAAAAGGCACAGGGCATTACAGGTCGGTTCTATCCTGCCCAGCACAGGCGCCAGTTTTTTTTCAATCCATCAATTTAAGTCGATTTCTGTACTTGTATACTTGAGAGAACAATAAATCACATATTATTAGTATTAACAAATTAATATAGGTCATAAAATAATTCAGGATTAAGGCATTACACGACTTATTAATCATGGTGCATACAAGTCCACATTTCGTCGAATATATTAGAATGCAATGTGGCCTACTGCCTATTCGAATTAATATGGTTTGTTAATGGTATTTTCCATTATAAGAAAGCTAACTCTTATTCGCCGCTGACCGATTACACTGGTGAACTGGTGACAGTAATTAATGAAGCATAAGTAAGAAAAGGTATGAAAATAAATGCGAAGAAAACGAAGGTAATGATTATTGAGAGGAATGAAAGATTTACAGTATGTCAGATAATGGTAAGGAGATAAAAGAAGAAGAGTGGAGTAAGAAAGTTTCTATAATTGAGTTTATTGTTTACGACGGATGGAAAGTGTAAGAGAGACATTGAAATGTGAGCAATAGCGGAAAACACGGCTAACGGTGCACTGCTCACAATTATGGCAAGTAATAATGTATTGAGCAGAGTTCGCCATGCCATAATTCAGGAAGTACTGACAGCAACACTCATGTATGGAAGTGAGTAGGTATGGCAGAAGAAGCATGAAAGCAGGATTAATGTTGTAGAGATAAGATCTGGAAAGTGTGTTGTACATTACATAAAAAAAAAAAAACCAGAAATAGTGTGATTAGAGAGATGTGTGAATTAAATTATGATGCAGAGACAAAGATCAAAAAGAGAATGTTGTGTTGGTTTGGCCATTTGGGGAGGATGGATTAAAAAATTACTAGAGATTTATCGAGCACAAATGAATGGAGAGGTCAGTAGGGGTCGCCCCAGAGTCCTAGACAAACTTGGACCAAATAGGTGACGTGGTAGAAAGGCCAAATTAAAACTACCTGTAACCGGCGATTTTCCGGTTTTCATACACGCGAAAAGATTGATGTAGTGAAAGAAGTCTGTTTGTTTGCATCGAGGCATTTGGCGATCCATTATTGCTGCATATCGCAATGGGTGACAGACGTGACAGATAATTATGTATACTAAGAGTTACTTTGACCAGCAGTCTACTGATGTGCAATTGACATCTTTTCCACACTATTCCTTACGATCTTTTGATAAAATCACAAACTATACTATCTTCTAAATTTGCATTATTGGATTGTCTCTTGCTGGATACAAAATTCAGAATACCAGTTGAATATGAACAAGTGGAGAGTAAATTGTTAAAAAAAACTGAACAATCAATTCAAAATTAACTAAATATGAGTTCGTCATGTAGTCGATAGCGCCCACCTTTGGAGCTAATGAACATAAATTAAAGCTAATTGTTTCTTACCTGCTAATGATAACTGTCACAATTTGTTCTTGTAGTAGAGGTATGTATTTGCTCATCCATATCAAGTTATGTACGAACACTCTGTTAATGTAACAGCTGGCTTTATAGTACGGGAATTCTTCTAAAACTGTTTGAATGAGAACAGCACTAGTCCTGTAAATAAACACATTAATAAATTAATAATAAATTAACCCTGTACCAGATAGTGCTTGTAAGATGAATATTCGTGTTAGAATTGGAGCGAGTTTGGTATAGATGCCAGTATTGTTTGTCACCTGTATTGTTTTGGCGTAGATCTAAATTCTTGAAAGACTAAATATGTGAATTCGGATTCACATATTCCACATTCCTTAACAATGGTACCAGCTTAAAGCCTTTCAACTATCGACGTATTACCATTACTTATTTATTTTCCAATATTATGGAAAATATACGACTGAATATTGTTAAATTCCGTAAAAATTAATGAAGTGGTAATACCAGTCAGTATACGAGTTACAATATTTTTGGACAGGTTATTGTTTTGCGAATACATACACGAAATTTCAAACCGATATTTGAATTGGCATTGCTTTGACAGTCATGTAGACCTAGTCTAGACAAGCTATTCTTTGTAAAAATATAAAAGTAAATTTAATGTTGATAAAACATTACTTTTTACTCAAAAATACTATCACGGAAAAGAAAAAATCTCTTGATAAGACTTATGGTGTATCTTCTCTGTCACATACGATGATTCACAAGTGGTTTACTGAGTTTTGTCGTGGTAGAACAAGCACGAAGGAGGCTCCTCGCTCAGGACGTCCAATTGTGGTAACCACTACAGAAATGATCATGAAAATCCACGAAATCATATAGGGAGGTTGACGAGTGAGGTGAGAGAGATAGTCAACACTATCTCATATGAACAAGTATCTGACATATTGCATAAAAAAGTTTTCGACAAGATGAGTGCTGTGTTTGTGGACAATTGACCAAAAACGTGAAAGAGTAACACTTTCCCAAGCTGTTTTAACTAAACCCAGATGAGTATTTGCATCGTTTCATCATTATAGATGGAATATGGATTAATATTTACATACTAAAGACAAAACAACAATCTAAGCAATAGGTCAAAGTCGGTGGCAGTGCTCCGAAAAAAGCCAAGGTGATTCCATCAGCAGGCAAAGTTATGGTTTTTTGAGAAGCACAAGGTACAATCTTGATTTCCTCCAAAAAAGGAAGCCAATAAATGGAGAGTATTATGCTTAGATCAGTTCAATTAAGAAATCAAAACAAAACGGTCTCATCTTGTCAAGAAGAAAGTCCTGTTTCACTACGATAATGCTCCTGTTCATTCTTCCGCCATTGCAAATGTCCAAGCTGGTAGATTTACGCTACGAAATGTTTCCCTATCAACTGTATTCTCCTGACCTAGCTTCGAGTGATTTCTTCCTTTTTCCAAACATAAAAAAATGGTTTAGGCGCGAAGATTTCGAATTGATGTGATATTATCTCCGAAATTAAGGCGTTTTTTGAGGGTCTTGGAAAATATTACTACAAAATGGAAATCAAAACACCTCAGCGTCGTATAACCAAGTGTCAAACTTGGTTAGACTATGTTATGTTATAGATATGTTGGGGTTTTTTGAAGACTAAAAGAAGTTGAGAAGTAAATGATACACACTCACATTCTCACAGTAAATTTGTTTAATTTTTACTTGAATTATCAATTCACTTTCGCAAACAACTGGTTACTGCTGGGATATCCGGAGTATCACCAATATGTCTTCCGCCGTTCAGGGCTGCTCAAGTGGTAATCTTTTAATATTTTTGAATTATACTTACCTGGGCCAAAACAGCGGAGAATAAAAGCAAGGTTTTAATCGATATTCTGGACATAGAGAAGGCCTTTGAACATGTATGGTACAAAGCATTTCTATTTAAGTTTCATTGCTTTCGATTTCCCAAAAGATTGTGCACTTGGATTTCTAGTTTCACAGAGTAGAGCTTTCGAGTACTTTATTGTAAATAGATCATGCTCTAATTCCATGCCTGTGAATGCTAGTGTACTACAAATCTTCATATTATCTCTTACTGTTTCTTTTGGATTTCAATAACGAAACTGTATCGTTATTATGTTATTATAATCCAAATTGTGTGTACGTTAAAGACGTTGATTACGCCGGGTATGAGGGAGAGGAGGCGCATAAAACCTCCAGCATTATAACCCCCTGAAGGAAAAACCCTATGTACTTACCGCGAAAAAGGCCCCACTTGTCATAACAAGTCGCTTCAAAGGCACACCCTTAAATTTACCCCTCACATCAAAAACCCTCGCATCGATGTTTTGAATGATGTTCAATTTCGCGGTCATCTGGAAGAGAAAGCCAAATTGGCTTCTAAAACGCTCAGAGAGCTTATCAGAGTGAGGCAGTACTTCAAATAAATTTAATACCTTCAATTCTACAAGGCACAGGTATCTTCTCGAGTACTGCTCTCATCTCTGGATCAAAGCACTGCAATATGAACTTTTTTTATTTAATCACATCAAATATAGAGCATATCGAATCATTAATGATCTGGAAATTTCCAATCAAGCAGATTCTCTGTCTACACAAAGAGATGTTGCATCTCATTGTAGGTCCTACAGTTTGTACCACAGGAAATGTCCAGAGAAATTATTCAACTTAGTATCAGCAACTAATTTCCACAATACACACATATTTAATTGACATCAACAAAATCTTGATGGATGACAGTCCACTACAGTATATATTTCATGAGAAATTTCCTGTTACAGACTGTAAAAATACCTTATTAAAAGGAGGGCAATACACAGACAACTCCTACAATATCTATAGTGTCCATGGTCTGTGGTAATTTCTTACCATTACATGAACTAAATGATCATCTGCCGTCCTTTCATTTAAAGATATGTGTGTATTATTACATTACACTCAGACTATTATAATCATATGTGAACAAATTATAGAAGTTCACTCTCTCTTATACCATATAGGCAAATTTTAGGGGGCACCAGGTAGACTGTGCTCACCCAAAGGATGTGAGAGAGACTTCACAAAAATATGTCTGAGTGTATGTATGCACTTTTTTTTAAGATTCCAGGCCACCCTGGAAAATAATTCTAAACATTCTAATGTGTATACCAATAGAAAATATTCTTCTATTCATATTATTAATTATTAAATAAGTAATTAAATTAATGTAGCATTTAATTATTTATCTCCTTTTTTATATTATATAGAGACAAAAAAGTTACATCAATATGTAGTAATTAGTTTTTGAAATACAGTTTCCTATAATATTTCTTCTGCATTAGTTAAGAAGTAATTCCATTTAACTGTTAAATTATAAAACATTTTTAAGAAATATTTAAAAAAAAAAAGTATTTTTTATGAACTGCATTTTATATTATCTTCTTTTTCAATACACCTCATTCATAATATTATTTTAATATAAGCATGTCTCATTGTATCTCACTGTGATGAATTGTGAAGAGAAAATAAATCTATTTATTATAGTACCTAATTTATAATTGTAATTTCAATAAATATTATATACAAATTAATGGTTATTATTATTATTATTAGTACTTACATAGGAATGGTTGCAACAATTTGTGCAATAATTGTATGAATGTTAGACCAAATGGCTATTTTCTCAGCAGGTGGACTGTCATCCCAATTTTCACCATCAACTGTAATATGATGAAATAACAAATTAAATAAATCCTAGCAATGAAATTATGAAAGTTGTCAATATTGTTGTCTGTTGTACAAAAAACAAATAAATGATACTTGGTCTTGATATAATAAATAAAATAATTAGTCTGAGACTGCCATTATAACTATTGCTACATAAATAATTTTGAAGAGTACTATAGTAAAACAGAAGACCTGTGGGTTTGTTTTTAATACTATATATGTTAAATATCTTAATGTTTAAAAATTATTAAAAAAAATTACCTTTAAAAAATTTCAATAATGAACTCATAACATTTGGACAGTGGTATGAGTGTGCAGTAACAACATTCATAACAAATTTATTAAACAGTTCCACCAGCTCCTGGCTACGGCTCGCCCACTCCACACCACAAACTAGTTCAACAAATTGGCTGCAATCTTTCCCCAGCAAAACAACACATGACAAACTGTCTTCAATTAAAATGTGGAAATTATCATCATTCAATGGATAATTTTGCAACACTTTCAGTAAATCATTATATGCGCTTACATTACCATTATGAATATAACTTAATAGTATATGTTCAACTTGGTTTTTATTGAATTTAAATTTCAGTCTGGATAAAGCTTCTTGTCTATCCAAAGTTTTTTGCATCAGAGATACAACACTTTTTCGAGCTGCAACAGCCATTTTATTTCTTGAGGTCCAACGATACTGATTTCAAATATGCAATTACTTCAGGCTGTCGCAGTAATTCTGCCTTTTTATGATTTAGGACTTCTCTTAAAACGTTACTACTGTCTTCAAGAGCCGTTGGCACTGTAAGTACACTTTGCTCAAAACTTGTACTAGGTTTGCTGCAACCAGCAACTGTGTCGGCACTCTCTGTGGTTTTCTTATCTTTCAGGTAAGATTGTAGTCTCTCTAATACCACTTTATTATCTCCTTCTTTCTTTTCTGCACTATAACCTTCTTTAGACATAGTTCTTCGTAAAATTACATTGTAACTTATGGTTTTGTCACCTGTATGAAATACTTTTTATTAAATTGTATTTTAATGTTCCGTCTGTACAAACTATTGCGCTTTATTGTGAAAAATTGAATTTTAAACACAAGAACACGTGCTCAAGGAAAGTTATACACGACAAATAAAAGAATTCGTGTCGTGTCGCATGTAGTCTTTTCAATTCGTCTTTTTTTTTTTTTTTTTTAGTACGTTTGTTCCGTTTGGAACAGGCTAAGGTCGGAGACCATGCTGCCTAGTCTTCAAAAAGATAATTTGTCTGGAATTTTATTTTTCTAATGTCGCTTCAATTATTGTCAATTCGTCTTTTTCGTCTGTCAAGCACAGCTGTCAAGTCCTTAATATCGTAGATTATGAATTTAACATAATGAAGACCGCAGGTACTATTCTTAATCTATGTAATGAATATACTAAGTTATTTGTGTACATCAGAGTGAGATAAATAAACATAGAAGTCTACGTATACATTATAGGCTCGAAAATGATTTGGCGTGAGACATGAATAAAACATTATAAATTCTGATTATTTACACATTTTAAAATGTAGGTAATTAATTTTAAGTAATACTGGGGTCGATTCTAAGACGTTATTCTTTTTAAAGCTCTCTTTAAACCAGTTAAAAAAAACTTATAATTTGTCACAAATTTAAACAAGCAAATATTCTCACCGTAGCTCCACAATACCTATACGCAAACATTTTGTGTATACGCAGGAATCATCAACTGTTTCTTAAGAATATCAATCTCAATAATCTTAACACTAGATACAAATATAAATTTGCTGTTCCTAAGTATTGGTTAGAATAAGTTAATAGGTCTTTTATTCGAATGGGCATTAAATGTTATAAGAAAATACTGAAAGATATGCTGGATCTACCTTTTAATAAGTTTAAAACTGTTATTAAAAAACACCCACTGAACAAAGCCTATTATACACTAAACGATTCCTTGAATGACAAATGAGCATAGTTTAGCATAGTGTTAGTCGATCATGCACAGGCTTTTAACGACCATGTAATTTCGGACATAGTACTTTACTATCTGATAGTTATTTATCATATTTGGGTATTAATATGACGGAGAGAAATAAAACACACTTTGATCAAATCACTTCTAATCGTAGACAAAAACCTCCAAATATAATTATTATAAAAATTAGGTGTACCCACATATCGTCATAGTCGTAGAATACTGACGGATCTTTATATGTAATCTTCGTCAAATCCGTCAGTATTCTACGACTATGACGATATATCACAAGTACATTTAAATAAATATACTTTTTAAAAGAGTAACTGATGAGTCTTTTGCAGGCTCTTCTCAACAGATAACAATATTTCGAACCCAGTAGCAAATTTAAAAAATTACGATGATGAATTTGAACAGTTTCACGAAATTATAGTCTTACAAATAAATAAATATTTACAATTAATTGTCAATTGATTTCAATCTAATAGAAATTTAGTTCATATTGGTCTTTAGAATAAAGATTTGGCCGTGATATCAAAAAGAAATATTAACTTTAGAGGTAGGGATAGAAAAATGGCACTTCAGGATTAACCTCATTATTTGAAAGGTACATAAATAAATAAGAAACACTTTATATTTTTTATATAAATATACTATAAAAAGCTACTTCTTTAAAAGCTAATACGTATTGTAAAAACCTTAAAAACTCTCAAAAGAACATTTTGAACAAGAATTGGTAAAAATAAATATTTAATTTAAAGACTTCAGTACACGTTGGCCGTGAATACTTGGGAAGTGCACTCGATGAACGTATACTAGCCATTTTTGAGTATTTGTCAACGGTTGTCGGCGACATGCTTGCTGTCGGTTTTTCGTATAATAATACGAAAATTATTAGTATTCTATATTGTAGCGACGGCGACTATCTGATCATTCACCTTCATTTGACGGCCAACATGAAATGAAATTACGCCAGATATGTAATTGGCGTTATTACATTTGTCAAGTGTACTCGCTGATCAAGCTCGACCAACATTTGTTGCTGCTGTATATCATTTCATTTATTTATTTTGTGATACATAAGTAGATATTAATGGATGGTAAAAGTCTTCTATGATCAGCTTCATACAACGAAGTATACAAATTTACATATATAAAAGAAAAAAAAAAACAAAAGAAATACAATAATGTCATTTAAAGTATAAAAAGCCTACATTAAGGAAATTTATTAAATTTATTTTCAAGCATTCATACAGTTTAGTTTTGTAATTATTTATGTCACCTATGGCTATGAAAGATTTAGGTAATTTATTATATATTCCAGGCGCCATATTTACATAAAGTTCTGAAAGTCAACGAATTGAAATTATAATATATGAGGGTAATAGATTGGCAATGCAAAGGGAAAAACATAATAATGTATGTGTACACAATATAAACTTGAAGCTGATTTAGAGGAAGTATGAACAAACTATTCTTTTTTTCCTGTTTATATGACACGGTACAGAGCGCATTCGAAAGAATCAAATTAAAAAAGTTTTATTTTTGCGTTTTGAAGTGAAATTAGTTTTAATTTTTTTTAGGATTTTACATAAATAAAAAAAAAGAACCACAAAATTGCACAATTTAATGTAATTACGTTTTAAACATTTATTTCTCTAAATGCAATATCATATAATAATCAGAAATATTTTGTATAAGATTTAGTAAAAAAAAAAAAAACATTAAATAATAAAAAAAAAGATAAAAATTTGTCTTACTTTTAGTGAAACATTTGTATGGAGACATTTCATCTATATAACCAAAGATTTGATAAAGTTTTGAACGTTTACGATATGAAATAGAAATTATAATAATTACGTTAATTTTATTAATTTTACAATTTCAGTTACATATAACTCTAGAATGGTCACATACATATATTTACAGAAAAAACCATTTTCAAAAAACGATTACACTAATTATGTCTGTGACACTAATGTGTGTGACATTACTGTAATATTGTAGAATTACAAACATATTACGTATGTGATAAGAAATAAATATATAATTGACCGCTGACGAGACTCATTAATTTAGGTTTCTTTCTTTGTTTATCTGTACCACAGATGCTTTAATGAATAGATAGTAGTGTATTGTAAATTTTATCTTTAATCTGTACATTCTCATTTTTGAGTTTGGGAGGGGTGTAATGCGTGTGTATTTCCTAATTCCGGATTTATGTACTGTAGTTTATTATATTGTTTTATCAGTGATTACGCAGTGTTATTACGAAAATGCTCACATGAAAAACTATAAAATTATAATGTAACTTAAGTGACTTAGTTTCTATCTTTTCTATGGGCGTTGATAATCATGCAAAATGGCCAACGATTGGTGGTCATGTACCTGTTGTTCTGAGGCTCTGACCTGCTGGCTTCGTCTCAAATTATCACCAGAAGAAATAGAACAGAGATACAGAAGTAAAGAGATCGACAGAATATTGGAGAAGGACAAACAGACATTGCGGCGGCAGGTTAAATTGTTGCTATTAGGGGCGGGTGAAAGCGGAAAGTCAACATTCCTGAAACAGATGAGGATAATACACAAGGTGAAGTTTGAGCCAGAACTTGTGCGGGAGTATCAGCACGTAATATATCAAAATATTGTGAAAGGTATACAAGTTTTGGTAGACGCAAGGGATAAGCTTGCTATACCGTGGGAAAATCCTAGGAATTTGGACGTGGGGCAGCAGGCTTTACATTTCAATAGTACATCATCGTTGGACAGCAGACTTTTCATGCATTATGCGCCGCATATTCACTCCCTGTGGTTGGACAGAGCCATTAAAAGGGCATACGACAGGCGAAGAGAATTTCAATTGGTAAGTGATAAATTAATGTATATTTGCTAAGTAAACAATGGGTCTTGTATCCTTTGTATCTACATAGGCTTATTGCGATTTTTCATTGCGGTTTTAGACATTCCAGTGAATACTTTATTGAATGTGACAAAGGATTTAACTATAGTTGATAAGAGTTATATACATACATAGTTTATTTGTGCATAATAATAGAATTGAAAATGTTAATGCTATTTTTAAATTATTTTTAATAATAAACAAAATTCAGATCTTCAGTTCTTAAATTCTATTTTATGTAGCAACATATAAATAAAAAATTAATGTAATCTCACAAGAAAGGTTTCCAAGTTTAAAGCAAGTAATATATATGTAACATGAACAATTTTTTTTATTATACAAATACAACTGTACATATTTAACATGTTCAACTGATTCTAATGAAGTATTGTAAATGTGCTTCAATTTGAGAGTAAGGATAGTTTTTATTTGACAAGAAAAAATTAGCCTGTTAGGTGCAAGTAAAACAATATTTGCCACATCAGATGGTCGTATCGTAAATAGATTCTGAGAAATTATTTATAATATAATTTTCAGAATTGATAATGGATTACTAGGTACATAATATTTTTATCAAGTAAGATATATAGATATTGCAAATCTAAGGACAAAATTATTAAGTAAAATATAAAACATACAACAATACTAAATACCTAAAGTTGGTGTTTACTATGCATATTGATATGTTTGTATTTAATGTTACATATATTTTGTTTATACCTTTTTGATTTTAAATGAGGTGATAGGATTAATTAATACTTGTTTCTTATGAACTATGGTTTAATCATACAATGTAAAAATCTGAAAGATAATGTAAGCTGATGGAAACTTGTAGCATCATCTATCGACACAAATATTATGGATGCCCCTCAACATACTGTGACTCCACTGGTAAAGCATATATTGCCATTCCTTAGCAGATGTTGTCTCTGTACTATTTTTTTATTTTTCATTGATAGTCACAGCCATTCATTCACAACTACTTGGTGATAGAACACTACAACAAATTAGAATAGCAAACAAGCTGGAAACCCGATGGAAAGTGGTAACCATCACCTATAGACAAGAGCAGTGCTATGGACATAACAGAGTATACTGTTTCACCCATGATACCTCTCATGTATTGCCATTTTTTAGGATTAATGTATTATTCCTCTGTACCCTGTAAATTGACTGACATATCCCACCCTTCAGACCAAAACACAGCAATGCAAACATAACTGCTTCATAATAGAAACATGAATAGGACAGAGGTATCCAAGCAAATGACTTTTATGGTATTACAGCACAGCTACTATAAATATAAAAGAAATAGTTAAAACAAATATATTTTATGACTTTTCTAACCTTGTCATTGTTTGCCAATCAGCCATAAAACCTTTATATATGTAACATTTGCAATTATACAATATGATAGACCTTAGCTTTCAGGATTGGCAATACATTAGGCATACTATGAGGTACAACTTTTTATGTCCTGTCCTATCTATATATATATATATATATATATATATATATATATATATATATATATATATATATATATATATATATATATATATATATATATATATATATATATATATATATAGAATGTATCATGAGGAGTGTTTTGATATCGATTTTGATACTTGCTGTAGAATTTCATAATCATACAACTGGCCATAAACTAAAGTTACATTATAATCATCTGTATGAGTGGCGGTCTTTTACTTCCATGCACAATCATGTTTTACAGGGGGTAAGAGATTGTTAGTAATGGGATCTAACAGCCCCATTCCTAGCAATATACCTTATCAGGTCGACCACCACACGGTTCGCCCTGTAAACCTTTGTAGTTAATTCTTGTGGATTCGTCACATGGGCTAACTGACCTGCTTTCATCCTCATATATGATCTATCACTGATGCCCCGCCAGTGTATACTGATAGCAGGTGGGGTCACTATTTCATTTTCGTCTATTAAAAAATAAATAAATAAAACATGTTTTGAAATCAACTTCCAGCAATCAGTATTTCCGAACTGATACAGTACATATAGTCCTTCGAGAAAGAAGGGAAATAGATTGTTCATAATGAAGCTAAATAGCCCCATTACTAGCAATATACCCTGTCAGCTCGATCTCCACATGGTTCCCCCTGGAAACCATTGTGGTTAATTCTAGTTCATCAGGATGGGCTAACTGACCTGCTTTTATCCTCATCTGTCATCTCTCACTGGTGCTCTACTTGTGTATACCAATAGCACAGGTGGAGTTACCATACTATTATCACCCATTAAAAAAAAACCTTCAAGAAAAGATCTTATATGTTTTTAAAAAGCCCGCAGCACACCTGCTATTCTCCCGGTGTTGTGGATGGTCATGGGCGGCGGAGTCACTTGCCACCAGATGAGTAGCTCTTTTGCCCCTTCTTGAGTTATAAAAAAAATTCAGTATAGAAAAAAAAATACTGATTGAGTATACTTATAGTTATTATGTTATTTTAAATAACAAAACCCCCTTTAAATTCTAAATATATGTTTTTTAATTATGATTTTTATTTATATATTACTCAATAGTGACAATTTTTTGTATGAAATAAATAAATAATTAAAATTCTAATAAGTAAGTAAGTGTAGGACATAAATACATTATTTTGTAGCGATATAATAGAAATCATTGTGAATATTATAAAATAACAAATGATTCATATAATAAATTATAGAACACAATAGAATTGTTGTTCTTATAATCTATTTTTTATTTTTCTTGCTCTTAATAACCAGTCATTTTATGGCAATATGTTTTTATACAATTTTAGTCAAGTTTATATATAAATCATTTGTGTAAATGTGGCATAATATAATTAACACATATAATTTATATTATTATAAACTCTTGACCATCTACTGGTTCTATTTTTCTTATTAGAATAGAAACTATCATATCTCTCAAGTTACTCTAGCACATAATATGACATTTACAAAACTTCATTAAATTGGATGAGGGGTTTTGAAGATTGGCGTGAAGGGGAATATCATGACACGTGATTGTTATATGAGTATTCCAGTGGATACAATCTTCTATTTTAATTTTGTACAAATTTGCAATTATTAACAGTGGCCTTTAAGCACGTTAAATACAAGTATATCTTTTCCTTAAACATTTATGCATTTACAACGCCACGAACAATAATATTTTTCTTAGTCGACGGAATATTGAATTTTTATTGTGATACCACAAATAATACATGCTTGTATTCTAAAGCCTTGCGTATGACGCATGACGCAACCGGTCTATGACTAATCAAACGAGATAAGAAATGTAATTACAATTAATTATTTATACATATACGAAATCGTCTTGAGAGAGCACGTTTATATGAAGTACTAGTTATATCCCGTAGCTTTGCAGATGATATAACGATGAGTTAGGATAAAAATTAGCCTATTTTTTAATGGCAGGATATGGTCCGTCGTTGTACTAAATTTCATTCTAATCTGTAGGATAGGTACCATTTTGCTTCATGTCTTTTCTCAATATTTTAACTCTGCACTGCACTGATGGTAAAGTTTTTACTTCTCTGGATAGGTACTAACATTTTACCTATTTTTATTATGAAGCATCAATCCGAGACATTTTTGGTTAGAAAGGTCAACAAAGGGTAGAAATACAATATCCGATACAAGAGGGATATCATTTAAGTCCTCAGTAAAGGCGAGTTTATTGTGTTGTTTTACTGAAATTGGTGTTATTTTGCGGAAGTCCATTAGTCAATTAGTTGTTTTATTCGGTTAGTTGATTAGAATTATTTTGTTGAATTCCGTTACCATTAGTATGTTTAAGACTTTAATTATTTATTTATTTAAACTTCAATTAACATTTATATAAGTAAATGTAAATATGGCGGAATTATTATTTTTTTAACCGCATCCTTTCCTATAATACTTTTAGTGGACTATGGACACAAAATCGAACCAATCTTTGCTCTCAGTTGCTGGTTCTGTTTTTGTTTGTTCTTTATGCTTATTTAAAATGTATTCTAGTCTATACTACTAATAATGAAATTTTGATGTCCGTTTGATAGTCATGAAATTTGGACTATATATATATATATTTAGCATGAAGGATTATAGGCCTTATACTTTTCTTCTTTTATATCCTTCAAATATTATTTCCCGGTGACGCGGACAAAATCGCAGTTACACGTATTTTGTTACATTTTGTCCAATTTCGTTCCTCCACACATCCATCATAATTTTCGAGGTTCGCTCTTAGATAGTATAATAGAATTTTGTCCAAGATAATGTCTAATGACTATAGTTCTAAATACTATCGGATTAATTAGATTTTAATGTTATTTCCCATCAATAGAGAATTAATTGCTTAGGCCCGTACCTATTGGTTATATTCCTAAAGGAATAACAATTTATTAAATCATTAAAGATTGTGCCCCACAAAAAAAAAAAACTATTTCAAATGTGACAAATTCAGTTATTTTGATTTAAAAACTAAAGTATTGAATTGATTTTGATATAATTACTATAGAACAAATCTGTAAGTATATGCTTTCAGATAAAAAAGAATTTTCCAAATCGGTTTACACCTGAAGGAGTTATTAGGTAATAAACATAAAAAAAAAAATACAACCGAATTGTGACCCTCTTTTTTGAAGTCTGTTGAAAAGAGATCATACGAAGACAAGCCGGCACTATGCCGGACTCGGTTCGTTCTCAGTTCGATCTCGATCTGTTATAATATCACTATGTTAGAAACAAAGTGTGTACTCATACTACCGTTTAGATCAGTTCCATTCCAGATCCGATTAATCTTGAAGTGTTTTTACGAGTATTTAACAGCTTAGTCCTTAATTTATCATAGTAGTGATAAAAGTTGCTAGAATAATTTCCTCCAAATTGACTGTTTTTTCCGAGATATTTTTGAGCATAATTCAATCAGAGGGTCTACCATAAAATATTTCCCG